ACAGAGGCACCTTTTGGAATCTATCAGATTGGAAGGTAGGTGATTCCTTTGTTTGCAGGACCAACAATTGGGGGAGACACAAAGAAGGGGACCCTGGAAGGGGCTTGTCATGATGATCTCAGGGAACATCGTTCTCCCATCTCCCTATCAATGAAGGGCCCCTGAGAAGGCCCAGCTGCCAAGGCCCACCATGTGGGCAGCATGCATCCAGAACTAGAATCCAGTCACCGGGCTCAGACTATCAATCCAGTGCCCCTGGCCAGGGAGGGAGAGCAGCACAAGGCCTAGAGAGAGTACAGGTACTGCTGGCTTTAGCATATGAATTAGCTACCAATTCAAGCAAACACTTTCAGAACCTGTTTCCTCATATGTCAAAAAACAAAAACAAAAAACAAACCAGTTGTTGTTCAGTCGATTCCAACTCATGGTGACCCCATGTGTGTCATGGTAGAACTATGCTTCATAGGGTTTCTAATGGCTGATTTTTCTGAAGTAATTTGCCAGGCCTTCCTTCTGAGGTACCTCTGGGTGGGCTTGAATCTCCAACGTTTCAGTTAGCAGCTCAGTGTGTTAACTGTTTATACCACCCAGGGACTCCTTCTCATATGTACAGTGGGTATAATACATTCTTCCTCGCTAGCTAATGGTAAAGATTCAATTAAATGAGCACAGATGTGAAAGCACCTAGTGGCCTGTCCATCTTATTAAGTGTAGGGAGCACAGCATGGGGTGCTACCTCTGCTGATTCCTTGAAAGGGAAAGGGGTCAACGCAAGATGCTCAGGTTGAGGGGTTCCCAGGTCCTGCTCAAGAGGACAGTTTCCTTGCTCCTTCTATATCCACAGAAAGGAGAGAATCTCCACTCCCATCCCAGGAGAAAAAAGCAAGGGGAATCCTTAGCTTCTCTTGGCGCCCTTACTCACTTCTCCCCAGAGGAGGAGTGCCTTCCCGGGGGAGTTTGGAAGAGGAACTGAGCATGCTCCGTCATCCCTTCCGGCTCTCTCCATAGGGCGCTACTCCTCCTTGCTTACCAGCAGCCCATCCTTATGCTAACGGCCTGAGGGATTGTCCACTTCTCCCATGTTGAGTAACTGAGTTTTTTCAATTCTGAGGTGAAGTTTTTGCAAGCCCATTTGGCCTCAGATCAACAGTAATATTCTCCTTTCAGCTTTATCAGTAAAAAGCTGGCATTTTGATCTCCATCTGTCTCCTGGGCCTCATTTCTCAATTAATTCTGAACTTGGGGGGCGGGGGAAGAGGTGTCATTTAAAGTTGCGCTAAACCTAAACATTTTCCAAGGTAGAAACGGGCATTCTCAAGTTATTTGGGATATTATGAAGTCTTCAAAGAAACCATATATGAGAAGGATGCAGAGGCCAACTAAAAATCCATTTACCTGGCTCTTGTTTGGAATTTTGTCAACCTGTGCTCACCATAAGCTCTGAGAAGCATTATATACACCAGCTTTAGAAAAGAAATGAATTGTTAGGGAGTTGGAGCCCTTGTGGTACAGTGATTAAGAGCTATGGCTGCTAAATCAAAAGGCTGGTAGTTCAAATCCATTGGCTGCTCCCTGGAAACCCTATGGAGCATTTCTATCCTGTCATATAGGGTCACTATGAGTCGGAATTGACTCGACGGCAATGGGTTTGGCTTGGTTTTTTGGTTCAGTTTGTTGACAAAATATCTTTTCATTAACTTTGGACTACGTAGAATGGTCCTAGGGGTGAAGAGATTGCTTCTGTGGGGCCCTCAATGGTTTATTCTTATCACTCGGGGTTGGGGCTGCCCATTTGTAGGTCTGTCTCCCTCACGCCTTGAGCTTCCCAAGGGCAAGAACTGTAAACTTATTTATCTTACACATGGTAGGCCTCAATACATGGATGAATAGATGCACAATTAAATGCACGAATGGTCATAGCCTTGAAGAAGGAAAACTCCACTTGGGCAAGGGCAAGGGAGGGGACTCTCCCCTGGCAGTGGCAGACCTGGTTCAACACTAAGTTCCCCTTTTGCCAGCCCCCTCTGCAGAACTGCTGTTTGAGGGCTCTGCAAAGGGCCTCTGTTAGGCTCCCCGTCATCCTGTCAAATGTCTGCATGGAGCTCTCCTGGCTGGCTGCATGGGCACTTTGCAAGGCTGAGACTAATGTAGCAATCTCTACAGTCTCTGTCCCTGTTCCAATGCTAGATGTTCTTAAAGAATGAAATATACCCCAGAAATGTGAATCCATGACAAGGATTTTTGTGCAAGAGCATGCACTATCTGGCTAGTGCACTTGTTTTGCTGGGCACTCCAGCTTTAGCATTCACATCAGGTAGCTAAAGTCCATGCCTGGTGAGGGAGGTGGTGTGGGCTCTAGAGTCAGACTGACCTGAGTTTCCATGCTGGCAATATAGCCCTGGTTCCTGAGCCCCAGCTCTGTATCCATAAAATGCAGCTAACAATCCCTTCCTCAAAGGGCTATGGCGGAGATGACACAAAATATTGGGGTTCCATGTCTCCCAAGAGAAGGTATATATATCACTGAGGCTACAGGAGTGGTTTAGGCAACACAGGGATGAACACTTAAACAAATTTAGTTTACATGCCTTAGAAAACAATTAAACCATTCCATCATACCTATGATTTTACCAATGTCATTACTTAAAGCGAAGCTTAAGTTGGTATGGATGTTGGGTCTAAGTCTAGTTACAGAAAAATATCAAGTAAAAAATAATATAGTTGGTAGGAGAACGTGGCAAGCGTTCCTGAAATGGTACTCTAAAGATTATTCTTTGGGAAGAACAGAAGTCTCTAAAACTCATGCCTGCCAGTAGTAGGTGCTCTAGAAATGGTGTCTGCTACTGTCAATGAAACCAGTCGCCTGGGAAGGACTAAAGGACAACCTACCACGGGCAAAGCAGAAAGAGTTAAAAGAAAGGGGTCTGCGGTTTCCTGGCCCATCCCCCACTGCAGCTAATCTGTCACCTAATGAAGAAGCGGCCAGCACAAGTGAGCTAGCTGGCAGTTCACTTACAGCAAACTGATTAAGAATGTTCAACCAACAGCAGACTGTAGACCTCTCCAGCGAAAATAAATAGAGTGTAGACTGTATGCAAATGTGTTTGTCACTTTGACAGCACGTCTCAATTAAGGCATCTTGCGGCTGTGGGTAGGCTCTGTGGCTGCAGCTGTAAGGGAGAGCCCGCTGCATGGCTGATACTCAGGGCTTGACCTTAATCCGCATGCATGCATTAAAAAAAATCCTGCCTTCCTGTACACTTGCATAATGCTGGCAGCCACGTGAGGGAAGTGACAAACGGGGAAAAAAGCCACTTTCATCCTCTCCAGTTTACAGACCTGTGAAGGCACAGACAGCTCTTATTTCAACAGAGTTTGGGGTGGCTTTTTTAATTGTTTATCCCCCACCCGCACACACGTGCACGCGCACGCACACACACACTCTTATTCTGCATTTAGCTGAGAATGACATTAAAGCATCTCTACTTCTTGCTGAAATGGAAAGAAGGTCTTTCTTCATTTCAAATAGGGTCTCTTTTTTTTTGTGTTTCGAAAATGGAATGTTTAACACCATGAAATCCCTCTCCCCCGCCCCCTCTTTCTCTGTAATGGGCTCCAAACTACAGCGAGGGGCTCTTTTCATGGGAAGGTTAGCGCCTGCAGGAATGAGGACAAAGGAAAGCAGGAAGCTGGCTCTGGAATGCCATGCTGGCAACAACCGGGGGCTAAGCTTTCAGCAAACACAGCCAGGGAACTGGGGCGCAGATTTCTCCAACAGGGCCTGAGCGCGGGAAGGAGGCGGCTCTTCAGGGTGAAAACACCAATGCAATTGGAAGATAATCATTAACCAAATGAGCACTGTCCCGTGGGTACCACTTTCTTTCACTTCAATTTTATAACATCCTTTTTAAGTGTAAAATCAGAAAAGGGGGATGAACCTCCTCAAGTTAAAGATGTATGAATGTGTTACCTTAAAATACTGATTAGAGAGGACCGATTCTTAAGTTTCTATGAACTCACCCCTTACAATAATAACCCACAGCTACGATTTCATTAGTTTCCTTCATTTCTAAATAGCTCAATACCTGGCACATAGTAGGCACTTGATAAACGCCTGTTAAAAACAGGAACATTTTACATGTTGGCTTCCAAGTCCTTTATATGGTGAAATAGTAATCAAATGATAAAATCATAACGACCATTTTAATCATGCTTCATCTCACACAAAGCCAAAGATTCAGGTGATTTAAAAATAAATAACCTTGTACATTCATGTTATAGCCATATCTTGCGAACAGAGCCATTTCTCATAAACCACAAAAAATTATGACTTTTGCTAATCAAGTGTCAATTCAAGAGAAGCAGAGGAGGGTACACAATCTCTTTTTCAACCAAAAACAAAGCATCGATAGGAAATGGATAAAATTTTCAGTTTCTATGCAGAGTACAATGTTTTACTTACGGGAAAAAAAAAACAAGCAAACAGACAATTTTTCAAATGCTCAGGTAGACGAAAATGGTTGGTTAAACAATCAGATCTCTAGAATCATAGTGAGGGTGTTTACTCTGAGAAGCACGACTCCTGATATCGATTTTCAGGAAGTACATTAATAAAGAACTCTTAATTGATTTTTTTTTAAGACTTCGCTTCTTGCCTTTTATTTGAAGGTGCAAAGAAGAGCCTGGGATGCTAAAGTGTTCTAATGAGATGCTAAGCTAACAGAAGCACCTTAAACGGAGTGCCTTGGAGTGGGGGAGGCAGCAACTGCATTTAATGGCTTCATTCAATAATTGAGCTAGTTTATGACCAGAGCCATGCTGTCTCCTGAAAAAATTTTCGAAAATTCACCTTCAAAACATTTTTGCACCAAATAAACATTGGAAGAGATGAAAAATTCCACAGAGTTGCTTTGCCAAAGAGAACTGAAATGAAAAACCGTCTGTGGCATGTGCTACAGCTTCTGCTGAAAAACAGACTGGTCAAGGGCCAGGGTACATACCTGTCCGAAGTGGACTGTGATTGGCCTCCGGTCCTCTCTGAGCTTGGGGTCCTTGGCCTCCACTCGTGGGGACAGCGCAGTCTTTGGTAACTGCTCTTCTGTAGTGGGGGCACAGCCATTCTCAGTGATGTCCTGAGGAGAGAAGTAGGGTCAGGGGTTGGTGTCGGGGCCACAGCACCTGGCCTTGAGCACAGGTGCTCCCTCAGATCCAGCTAAGAGACTATGGAACTCATTCAACATTCAGAGCCAATCCTTCTGACAGAGGGGGAAAAATCAGAAGGCTAACGTGGCTCTTTGACTTTTTAGTGCCTAGAGAAGTCCTTATACATTAAATTATGCATAAAAATCATAATACATTAAATTACAAGGACAACATAGCAATAATTCAGGATAGTGGGAGAAAACTATCTTTCACTTTACTACCTTACACAACTATTTTTACATATTCACTTTTGCCCACATTCAGACATTTAAAAATTATTTGCAGTTACAGCTCATGTATAACTTTCTGTTCTTTTTCCAACTATATTATAAGCATCTCCATGCTGCTGTATAGTCATTATAATAATTTTAATGGATGCATAATATTTCCTTGAGTGGATATACCATAATTTAATACATCATCCCACTACTATTGGACATTTAGGCTGCTTCTAATTTTTTTACATTATAAACATCAGAGTCATAAATATTGCAGCTTTTCTTTCTTTTGCATTATTTCTCTTATGGAAATCTCTAGGAATAAAGTTACTAGGTCAAGAGATACAAACATTTTTAAGGTTTTTAATTCATCTGACCAAACTGTTTTCCAATTTACATCAACTACCAGCAACGGATGCATTATTGGTTTCACAGTACTCCTTTAGCCCTACCGTTTTAAAAATGTATCGCTAATTTAATAGGTGAAAAATTAGATTTCATTGTTGTTTTAATTTGCATTACTTTGATTATTTGTGAGTGTGGACATTTTCCCCACGCTTGTTTACTGATGATGCTACTGCTTGTGAAAACGATCTGTGTATGCGCCCTCTTTCCCTGCCTCCAGTCTTCCTTGCGGAGAACAAAGCAAAGGCTGAGTAAGGACTCTATGATTTGGGGGAAATTTAGGGAACCAAAGTAATGTTTTTAAATTCAGAAATTTACGTTTAATTTGTTCTTCTGAAGAATGAAGTTTTAAGGAAAAGCAAAACTCCAATGTGCAAAAGGCAGGTAACGGCTCCTTTGGCTAAAGCTGGCTACTGGCTATACACATGGGTTCTTTGGAATGTAGATGGTGCCTGCGCATTCAATAAGCACCACATGTTTTATTAAAGTCATGAAAGTTGCTTAAACCCTCATTGGGACAAGGTGGAGAATACATGTATAAAAAAATAACATTTAAATAATCATTTTTCACCAAGTAAAAATAACTTGCAGCCAGAACTAAATAATAAATACAACTTACCATTATTTTAATTGCAAGAACAAATACAGATTTTGGTCATTAAAATGCACACCTTGAGTATTCACTAAGTTCTGCACATAAAAGACTCGATAATTTGTGGCTCTTAACTTTTCCACTGAATAATGGCTGAGCAGAGAGGAAAGTGGTCCCTTACTGAATAACAACGGATTAAGGAAGAAACATTTAACATCTCTGAGCCTCAGTTTCCTCATCTGTAAAGTGAGGATATAGTAGCTATAAGGATTAAAGGAGATAATGTTTAGAACATTATTAGGTACTTGATAAACTATGGGAATTTTAATTAGATGATAAATTCAACCTCACACCTCCAGCTGGCTACCTCCTGGCCTCCTTTCCTAAGGAATCAAGCACACCTGCAGAGAAGCCAACCCTGAGGAGTCTTTGCACAGCTTGGTAAACAACACAGGGAGATGATGACCTCTTGGCTTTGCAGAGAGGGCTTGGAACAAGTGGCCAACTATGGCTCAGCTCGGCTCGGTTCAGTGGCTAGGCCAGTCTCAGTGAGGCTGAGGCTCAGTGATGAGAGAGGCTGCCGACATCCAATTAGAAATGGCTCTCTGGGAAAGGAGCTGCCCTAATGTGCCAGGGTCAAATGGAACAAAGAGGGAGAGGGGCTCCTTCTGCATCAGAAAGCAAGGGTCAAAAGAGGCCTTTTGGATCCAGGTGGGGACGGCGTGGAGGGGCAGACACAGAAGTTGAGTAAGACCGATTTAGGTGAGGGAAAATTGCGCGTGTGTGGGTGTGTGCGTGAGAGACAGAGGGACTAAAAAGAAATGAAATGAAATTGTAAGGTAACATGGTAAGGAAATATTGCTACTAATTGACTTAAAACTATAAGATGATAACTATTAAAAAGGAAAACGCACATGGTAGTTTTGAGGAAAAGGTCTTAGCTTAAGCTTATTAGTAAAAATACTGTCTTCTAGTCTTGGTTTTTCCATTAACCAGCAGTCTGACCTTTTCAATTCACTCAACTTCTCTGCATCTATTTTTTTTTTTTTTTTTTTTTTACAATGGGGAGACCACCACCTGCTTGGCAAACTTCAAAGCTACTGAAAGGTTCCATTAAATGAGATGAGATGTGAGGTAACACTGACAAATGTTACAGTGTTGTGCAAATTGAACATCAGACCCTTATCCTCTGCAAAATGGAAAGACCATCATCTAAAAAGGAGAGCTTCCCTGTGTTGAGCACCTATTACACGGCAGGTATTTTTCCAAATCTTCATTACCACACTTGGTTTCCACAACAATCACATGGTAGATAGGATTATCCCTCTAAGTGGCAACAACAGGTTCATTATGAGTCTGAACTGACTCAACAGCAATGGGTTTGGTTTTTGGTTTGATTACAGGTGGGGAAATAGGGCCCAGAGAGAGTAATAGACCCAAGGCCACAGAGCTAGAAAGTGGAGTAACCCAGAACTGTATGACTCCTGGCATTTTTACCACATTAGTACAGGACAATAGCACATGTGAAGCTGTTCTGAGTTGAGGAGGTGCTCAACAAGTCATCAGATATGATCTCCTCCTCCTTGGACGCCAGTGATGCTTTGCTCCTCTTTTGTTACATGGATTACATTCTCCCATGCCTTATGAGATCTGGTCTGGGGTTCTCTGCCCTAGAGCCTTGAATCTAGCACATGCTCTCAAATAAACCTGTGTAAAGCTGAGTTGAACACTTGGAAGGCAGATGTGTCCAATATACACCGGTGCTGTGTATCAAAAAGCAGTGCGAGATATTTATTTTATTTAGATGATCCAAAGGTGCAAGACTTCTTACAAAGGCCCTTGGCTCGTCCCACTAATTTACTAACTTCTTCACTACTCTTTCCAGCTGGGGAAGGATAACTGCTTCCTCCCAGGATCCCAGAGGGAGCAGAGTGGGAGAAGCCCAAGTCCAGAAGGAAATAGGGCTGGTTCACATCCTCTACTGTATCCACTAGTACCATTGTTACATGTAGTGGGGATCCAATAACAGCAACTTTTGATACTCATGAGTAAAGAAACCATGGCCTAAGAACTAAATGAGAGGCTGTCAGTAAAGAGTCTGGGAAAACAGGTACTCTCATTATCTTCTGGTGGGAATACAAACTGGCAATTTATATAAAAAACCTAAAAGTTGTATGTGCCCTTTGGCCCACTAATTCCATTTCTAGAAATTTATCATAATAATTAAAAATTCCTTCAAAGTTTTCCATACAAGGATACTTGCCTAGAAAAAAAACTGGAAGTAACAAGAGTGTCCAACAATGGGATTGATTCAATAACGTCCAGTACATGTCCATCAGATAAAAGTTTATGTAGCCATTTAAAACAATGACATGTAGAAAAAACATTAATGGTCTGAAAAATGTTCAAGATACAGTAAGTGAAAATTAAGGTTATAAAACAGGTGATTGTTTTCTTTTTGCTTGTCTGATACATGGAATTTTCTTCAATAAACATGTATTTAGCTTATAAATAGGAAGAAAAAAACTACCTCCTAAATGTCATTTAATAAAAGAAAAAACATGAAGTTGACAGGAGGGGTAAACTTGTTCCTTTCCTGAGAGACACAAAGGAGGAAGACACTACAATGAGGTGCAGATCAGAGGCTAACACAGGGTAGCAAATCTCTTCCTAGGAGCCCTGCAGCTTGGCTCAGAGCACTGGGGCCCAATCAGTTCTCATTCCCCAGTAAAGCAAAGGAGTCAGAAAACAATTCAATTCTTGTCACCTTCCCTGAGTGTTTACTACATTTCAGGCAAAGGAATAAAAAATCATGAGTGAGATCCAACCTCTACCCCTCTGTGGAGAAGGCAGGCACAGCATCTAAGCCCTCAGACATGAATACCCACGAGAAGAATCCAGGGTCTCAGGAGACCAGACGAGGAAGAGATGTCATCAGAGGGGCTCTCTGAGTGGCGTTGGGTAAAAGCTAGGGTGGGGACTGGACTCAGAAGGAGCCAAGGACAGGACTTCATTACGCAGAGATGTGAGAGTAAAGCACTCCCATCCGGAGGGCAGAGCCTGTTTAGCAATGGCAGGTGGTCTAGTGGCTGGGTGCAAGCACCCCTGCCAAGGAGTGGAAAGGTTTGAAAGGTCTGAAAGGCTTTAACCAGGGAGTGGCTCAGTCAGAGCTGTGTTCTAGAAAGACGGCTCTGGTGGCTGTGTGGACAACCACACAGCAATCATGTTCTCTGAATACATGCACGTGGGTGTTTGGGCAGATTTACTGTTCCAGATGTGGGATGTAAAAAAACAGACAGAATGGAAACTCCCATTACTGAGTGGCTACTAAGCATTGCTGTTTAGATCCATAATCTCTTTTAATCCTTGTAACAACCCAGTAAAATCCATATTTCCTCTAGTTATAGATAAGGAAAACTAGATTCAGAGAGGTTTAGTAACTTACTCACAGTCACACAGCTAATATCCTATATAACTAGCACTGAACCCAGCTTGTCTGCCTTAGAAGCCTAAATACCAGACCATGATGTTGCAGAATGGGGAGAGAAGAGGGTTTAAAGACCCGCCCCACCCCAGGGTGTGAGGCAGAGGCCTTACCACCTCTGACTCAGATTGCTCATGGGAGAACTACCTGTCTCCATTCTCAGATTCGTAAAGGGCCCTTCTTTTCCCAGTCTACCTCACACCACAGCAAATGCAAATTAAAACATGAATATTGATATCAAAACAGTATCCAAAGTTGGAATTTCTGTGATTGAGGCTGACACGTATTTTAATATGTCTGGAGACAGGGAGCTGACAGTTGTGTGAAAAGGTGTGAAAATGTCTGTTCTGTGAGAGTCTACCTAGCTCTCCCTGCCCCACACATGCTTACTCACTCCCTTCAGTACACTGGGAAATGTTTGGCCAGAAACTCAAGCCTTTGCTAACCCAACTGTGAATTTGCTCCTTTCAATCACAGAGAGACTCTAAATCAACACGCTCAATTTGTCTTTTAGAGATCAAAGATTTAGAAACTAAAAAGGGCTGGGAAATGGGCCCATTTGATGAAATCATTTTGATACTGAAAAAATACAATTTTTCAGGGGTCCCTCAATAGGCAAGAAATGACATATTTATGTGAATATCTTAATGCTCTCTGCAGGTACAGAGGAATGTGTGTGCACGTGTGTGTGTGTGCAGCCATCGCTTTTAAAACAGGCCACTCTAATGCCAGCCTTGTACGGGAATGCGATTTGTTGAGAGTCACAAGCCCAGGCAGGCAGCATTCCTCTGCACGCCAGGTGTGGCAGGGAGGTGCTTTGGAGGAAAGAACACATCCTTTCTTTAGAAAGTGACGGCTGGATGGCATCTTTGCCATTTCTTCTTCTTCCTAATTTTGAGCAAGTCAGACTTCAAAGGAGGCCAAACTATAGAAGAACTTGACCACTTTGCTCCATTTGTCCAGAGAAATGTGTTATCCATCCTGTTTTATCGCTTTGGGCTGAAGCCGAGCAGGTCTGAAATAAAGCCACACTACAGTATCTATTAACAATTATTTGCCAATGGTCACATGGATACTCTGAAAGCTCCTATTTCAGATGCTTTGAAAATCTGCAGCACAAATGAACAAGGGATAGAGACAGGGCCCTGCTCAGTCATATTAGAGATGGACCTTCCACACACCATGGTGACCTCTCCACAGGTCGGCCCCACATTTTCTATTTGCAATTCAAACCCAAGGCGAGAGTGAGGAGGGCAAGATTGGGTTCTTGATTATATCTGCGAGGTCACCATTGCTATGCAGAGTTAGAGGAGGCCAGGTGGCAACCCAGTACATTTGAAAATTGGATCTTTGTTGGGAACTGCCTCAATTTCATAGCAGAAACCAAACTTGAGATGTCTGCATTAGACGCATCTGGGGAGTCACGTAGATATGTTACCACAGGAAGGGGAGGGGGACAAAAGAGCAAAGGAAATATTTTCTACTGCAGTGAGAGAGGTCAGTTAAAGCCAAATCTTAAATTAGCTCAAGAAAGGGAGCTGGAGAACACTGCAGAAGACCCAAGTCCTATACATACTGAACAATGCTAGAGTTTCAATTACAAAATAGCTTCTTCCAAGAACAACTGCAAAATATCAAGTCTGTAGAAATCTGTAAGACCGAAGGGGGGAAAAGTGAAAATTGAAAAGGGTGCACTAATAGATCTGTCAACAGTCCAATGGTGACAAGCCACATTTCTATAAAATGCCTTCACCATTTGTGACACCTGAAATGTCCTGACATTCTCTATAGAACATTATCTCCTGAAGCTATTCTTGAAAAGACTGGCAGGGGTAAGAGGAGAAAGGGAGGAAAAAAATCTGCCTCAGATACTATCAAGGCAAGGAAAGGAGATGGCGTGGAAAGAAAGTGATCTAGATTGTTTAAACGACCCTTTGAACAACAACATTAAAAACCCTGAGTGTAACTGGTTATTTGCAGAGATGTTACACATAAAAAGGGGATTTTCTTAAGGTCAAATACATACATGAGTAGGGAGGTAAGGAGATGTCTCTTGCTTAATGGTCTGCAGACATCAAGTCTGACCACCGAGGGTGCATCTGTCCTGTGCACCAAGAAGGGACCCTTTTCTTTGCCTACTTCAGGTAATATTCTAATACTAGCCAGAGTTGAGGACTGAAGGACTGAGAGAATTCCCCCATCCACCATTCCATTTTATATCTGCAATCAAATTCAGCTGTAAGTGACTGGCAAGCGATTGGGATAGGAGACGAAAAGGTCAACTTAGGGACTTAAATGATATCTAAGGGAAGAAGTCCAGCTGCCAGTCACCGGTGGGGTGCAGCAGATGACAGTTAAAGTCTACCTGGACTGACATTACAGGATTTTTATTTCCAGACTTGACTTTCAGCTGTTAAAAATTCACTCTCAGCTGAAACCCAGAATTTAAATGCTTAGTCAGAGCAAATTATTTTCCAATTAAAAGAAAGGAATCAATTCCTTCAACCATTTCAAGTTAATTAGAAGGTCTTTCTGACTTCATAACATTAAAACTGTTTTCAATTTACAAAAAAAAAAAAAACAAAAAACAAAAAACACTGCCAGGATAGACAAAGGCCTTTATTAGAGTGGGACATTGAGGGTATAGGGATAATGAAGGAAGTGACCCCAAACATCTTTTGAAAAATGAAACACTGTAGTGAAAGAGCACAGAGCCTAGAAGCAGATGGCTGGGATCGAATCCTGGCTCTGCCAGGCTCTCACAGTGTGACCCTGGGCAGGTTACTTCACCTCTCTGAACGGTAGTCTCCTTATTCATGCCATGGTAATAATACCCTACAGGGTTATTCTAAGGATCAAACATGAAAGCTCCTAGCCTGGACCATGTACAGCAAGTGCTTAGTGAAGGGTGATAATAATAATCATGCTGACAATATTCATAATAATATTTAAAAATGCCCTTTCTGTTATATTCACACCTCATTGTACAAGCGTAGGGAATCAGGTCAGGAGACTCTTGGCCAGTATTTCATAAAATTCTCCTATTTTACTGATGGTCCAAAAAGACAACCAGAGCCTCCCTCTTCCCTCATAGAGCCTCAAAAATCAACTGCTGGGCTGCTTTCGTTTATTCCACAACCATAAGAGGAGCCTGCAGCATCTTCCTCCAGCCCACCCCTTTGTGTCCTGCATCTGTGTGGTGGCCATGTGCATGTTGGAACCACCTGACTCATTTCCCTGGGGATGCCTCCTGGTTTTGGTTTCAGCCAGCCACAGGGCAGAGGTCGGCTGTAGGAGGGGGTGTTGCCGGGATGGGGAGGCCAAGCCAATTTCTACAGACCCCTGTGAACCCCAGGCCTGGTGGGGCTGGCAAGGGACAGGCAGACAGCGGTAACTCTGAACTTCCTCGCCTTTGTGGGTTTAAACCAGAGTCTTAATGTTATTTGAAGACAGTTTTTTTTGCCTGTGAATATTTATAACAGTATGAAAACTCCCGGACAGCTGGTAATGCATTTTGAAGTGTGCTAACAACACTGTATCAAACAGCCCTCTATTGATCGCATCTTACTTTTTTATGGCCACGCATTTCATACATGGTGCTTATACATTTTGAATAAGAACTTCAAGTACCTTTTGCTTCAAGCGGTTTTTCACCTCTTTTATTCCCATTTTTGCATGATCTTTTGCCTGCATGAAAAATTAATTTAAGTTAAGACTCCCTTTCTGTTTCCAGCAGGGACTATGCTTGATTTCAGTCCGTCATGAATCACCTTCTCTGATTACTAGAAAAAGGAAGGAAAAATGGGATCATCAAGTCGAAAACATAATAGCTATGAAAACAAATACAACGTTAAAAGGTTAAAAAAAAAAAATCCCTTAAAGAGGCTACAGAGATTTTATTTTCTGCATTTTGATGGCATAGAATTTTTTTTTTTTTCCTCCTGAAGCCCTTCTAAGACTGTTCTCTATAATTATTTATCTCAGCAGCCTGGTGACAGCTACCAGTAAGAGTAGAGCAGCAGCCTTTTCTGGATGCAAGATTCAGAATATCCATTACATTTCAACAGGGCAGGGTCTCAAGACCAATTTTCTGCCCAGGCTGAACGACCTGAACACACACATCTCTGGGATTCTATGGTGCCATTTCCTCGATCTCATTTCGGCAGACACCCTGGCTTTTATTTCTTATCGCTTTAGACCCATGTGGTTCAACTAGCAGCCACCCACCCCATTAAAATAGCAGCAATTTAAGCACAGAAAGGACGAACAAAATTTAAAAAACGGAAATAAAATGAAACCATCCTACTTAAGTGGCTCAGGGTCAAATTAGCAAGCAAGAGAAACTGCCAGAGAAAATACTTGAGCCTTGTAAAAGGTGGAACATCGGGGACTGAGGTGCTTCTCCTATTTTCATTCTGCTGTGGGCACGAGTCTCACAATGCATTTCCTATAGGGCAGTGATGAAAGAGATGATGAAGAATTTGGGAGAAAAATTATGGGGTGTGTCCCATCATGAACGCTCTCCAGGAATCTGCAAAGGAGCTGCTTTATTTGACATAATAATGTGGATACAGGTAGGAAAGGTTTGCTAGAACACCCGAGACACCATGCCTCCATGCCATAGGGATGCAGGCATGGAGCAGCCTGAACTTCAGCCACCCTGTCTACATTTTAAAAGCTAAAACCCGTAGCCTCCCATTTCTCTATCACAGCGACTGTTAGCAGCAGCATCTTAAATTAAACATGTCACTGAACTGATCATAAAATATCAAGGCTAAATCATTCTCAGAGCACTGAGGGCTTTAGGAAGCAACACAGCAGCCCCTGAATCATCCCTGCAGTACGGGGTCAGGTATATTTAAGAGTCTCGGGATGTCAAGGGACACATCTGTTTGAATCCCGACACCAAGACCAGTACTTACAAACTTATAGACAGTCTTCATGGCTGGGTTTGCTTTCGTTTTTACCGTATTCAGAATAGCTCCACTTCCTTTCTATAATAAAAATGTCAATTAGCAATTTGGATTGAAGATATAGTAGGCCAACACCAACAAAGATCTTTTCTCTTTAATCAAGTTAAGCAACATTTCAAGAGCATATGATTTAATTAGAAAAACAAGCCTAGATCTTAACTGGTCCCAGGTAGTTACGGTTATGGTTATGGCAGAATTGTTATGGGTAGGTATTTGGGGGTGGGGTGGATTGGGGATGAGGATGGATAACCATTCCTTGTGATAACTAGCTGAAAGGAGACTCTAGACTCTGTATTTTGCTTGGCGCCTGTCCCCTGGCTGCAAGGAAAGCTTATCACAGGCTCTCTGGGGCAAGGGTTATACTATAGTAATCTACAGCTTCTCAAGAAATTCTAGTTACTACGGACACCATCAAGGAACATTTAACTACAATGAACTCTATAGTTAACACCAAGCCAGGGCAGAACATGCAAGGCCTGATTAACCAGGATTGTCTAGCTCCTCTGGAAATATGCTACCCTCACAGAGGCATAAATGGGGTATGGCAGGCATTGCACTGGCCCTGGACGAGTGATGCCACTGAGCAGTGTTTACTAATCCCGTACGGCCAGCGGCTTATCTATAGAAAATGGCACCTATGGACAGCACCGAAATCGCACCCCTGTCCAAACATCTGACACCTCTTTTTTAGATGACTTTACCATGACATCAGCCCAAGAATACAAGCCAAGCTCATTAATCTTTTAATTAACACATTACCGTGCTTGAGGAAGGATGTTGGGCCGTCCCGGGTTAATAGAAACTGCTCAGTGGCACCATGCATATCACAATATCCTAGACTTGCCACTGTTCAGCCACGCACCTTCCTTTCCTTATCCTAGTTTTCTGTGTTATTGTCTTTTTAAATCACTCTGGTATGCTGCTTTCTATAATATCTAGACCTTGACAAAAGCAAAGTATGAACAGCCACGAATGTTAACTATGGCTTTATTATAAATCTACAGATCCAACATACCAATTTCTCAGCTCACTTTCTTTAAGAAAGCAGGAGGGAAGGTTTCCTACTACATAAATAAGGCAATAAATGGATATGAACGGCATAGGCCATAGTTCATGAATCCATTCTTTAGTCTCATCCCTCCAGACAGCTTGTGAGGACTCACTGTGTGTGGATGCCCGGTGCTAGGCTCTGAAGGTACTGAGCCCAGTGAGATTGGGTCTCTCCCTTTAAAGACCTCCAGTCCAGTGGGGGTGGGGGGGTAGGAGGGTACACTACTGTGAGTAACTGCAACGTAAGGTGAGAAATGCTGTTATAGCTGTAGAGACACAGACCTAGACGCAACTCATTGTTTGGAAGGTCAGAGAAGGCTTCAGAGGATGAAATATTTGACTTGGACCATGAAAGATGAGTAGGAGTTCATGTGGGGAATGGGGGGGAGGGGAAGAACACTCTAGGAACAGGAAATAGCACATAAAAAGTACAGAAGGTGAAAAACCACCGTGTGTTCTGGGAGTAACAAGTGGTTCAGAATGGCCCAAGCACAGTGTCTGATGGGAGGAACGGCATACAGGGCTGGGAAGGTCAGAGGGAGTCTGCTCATGAAGGGCCCTGAATGCCAGGTGAAAGGGTCTACACTCTGGAGGGTTTTAAATCAAATGCATCACATAATCAGATCTGTGGTGGTTTGGAAACGTAATTCTAGCTGATATGTGGAAAACAGATTTGAACGGAGAAAGGCTGGAACCAGTGGGTATATAAAATACTAATTACAGTAATGTAATTATTGGGCTTAAATTTAAGCCCAACTTGTGGTAACTGCCTGCATTAGAAATTTTGAGCTTTAATTAAAAACATTAAAATTTGACCTAGAAAATGTTCTATGCTGTAGGACAAATATGAAATTTTCACCTACTCATTTATTCCATATTGCTTTCCAAAATTACTCAGTATCCTATTTAAATGGTCCTTTAGAGTATTAAAACTCCCTTTATCAATCTATCAACAAGTCCTTATTGCTTGTCTATGATTTGCCAAGTGCTGTGTTTGGCCATACAAGAGGAACAAAAGAAGTCTTTCATCAAAGAATTGCTTACTCTCGGCCAACTGTAGCCACTTCCAAGGGACCCACCTTGGCAGCAGCGCACTTGGCCCACAAGCAGGAGAGAACACTTATCACATTATGTTGGAGTTGCCTGTTTACATCCCAGCCTCCCCCACAAGATGAGGAAGCTTCTCCAGGACACAGCCTGGGTTCTACTGTCCACTGTATCCCTAGCACCCAGCATGGTGCCTGGCACACAGTAGGCCTTCAGTACATACTCAGTGATAAACTGACGGAAAAGAAAGGCAAGAATTTGAATTCTTTACTGGCTTCTGAAGCCCGAAGCACCTGGCTCCTGACACAATAAGAAACTGTTTATAACAACAGTAAGGGGAAGAAAAAAACTGTCAGTGATGTGTTCTCTATCTTCCCAGGAGGCTTTGCTATGAAAAACATTGCAGAGAAGCAAGAAGAACACATTTTTGATTTATCTCCTATCACTAAAATTGTCCTGGTCCTAGAAGGAGACCCCAGAAATGCTCTAAGACAACATCTCATTCAACAAGCCTTGGCTGGCTCCCTAAAGATAAGGAAATTTCTCTTGCCTCTTTACCCACCACCAAGGGATAGCTTTGGACAGTCTCATCCTACTAGTTTCCAACTGGCATGAGAATGGCCTGGCTTTAAAAACAAAAGCATCTTCAGCTGAGGGAATCAGCTGACGGCCTAATGATAGCCTTGTAGGTGGCAGGGGAAGCTGAGGGCTGCCAGGAGGCTAACAAGGAGGCCCAGGTGGCTCTGAATGGGTGCACACTTACCCGGACTGTGGAGAGCCACTGGTGGTACAGTTTATCACTACCTGGGGAAAGAGAGTTCCGAGAAGCTGTTATTTAAAGAAGTAATTTTCCCCCAGGAGTTTCTCAAGTTGCTTTCCGCATGTAGGCTTTAGAAAGTTCAAAATTTGGAGAACCACATGGGGGCTCTCATGTCCCACCCCATGAAGGAGGCAGCAGCAAGCCACCACTACTGGTTATCTTTCTCAAACAGAGATCTGATCATATCATTGACCTGACTACCAAAACAAAAAAAAAAAAAGCAAAAAACAAACCCGTTGCCGTCAAGTCGATTTGACTCATAGCGACCCTATAGGATAGAGTAAAACTGCCCCAGAGTGTTTTGAAGGAGCAGCTGATGGATTCGAACTGCCAAACTTATGGTTAGCAGTCGAGCTCTCTAATCACTATACTTCAAAATCTTCCCCATTGCCTACTGGATAAAGGCCAGACTCCTTAGCTCTCCCTGCCCTCTCCTCAGTTCGTCTCTTGGCATCACCTACCCTCTGCCTCTCCATCCTGTACTACGTTATGCTCCAACCATGAGAAACTCCCTAGGGTTCCTTCAGTACACACTGTCTCAGTCCCCCAGGCCCTTGCAAATACTGTTCCCCTTGCTTAGTTCCCATTCCCTACTCTATCTGCTTGGTAGACTCAACAACCAGTTCAGCTGTCATGTCCTCTATAAGCCTCTCCTTCCTGCTTCCTCTAATGGCCCTCTAGAACAGGTAACACTCATTTAGAAGTTCATATTCTCGGAAGCACTGTGAGCCACTGCAGGGTAGGACCACCAAGGCTGTGTGTCTCAGGGCAAGCTTGTTGCTAGACACACACTCAGCCCTCAATACACTTGGGCAGTGATGGGGAAAAAAGGAGGCATTATTGGTGAACTCTAGGAGAAGGAGATCTTATTAGTGGAAAGATTTTTTAGAAGCTCTGAATGACTTAACTATAAAACCAGTTGCTATCAAGTTGGAAATGATGACCCCATGTGTGTCAGAACAGAACTGTGCTCAATAGAGTTTTCAACGACTGATTTTTCAGAAGTAGATCACCAGGCTTTTCTTCTACCTACATGTGGACCTGAACCTCCAACTTTTTGGTTAGCAGCTGAGCACCTTATTGGTTTATACAACATAAAGCCCATCTTCTCCTCAGAACTCATATTCAACTGTTAGAATGAAACTAAAACCCTGCCTCCTTTGTGAAGCTCTCACATCACGCAATGAGAATTAATAGAACCCTATTCTAACTGCAAGTAGCCCTGGTGGTGCAGTGGTCAAAGCACTTGAGTGCTAACCAAAAGGTCAGCGGTTTAAACCCACCAGCCGCTCTATGGGAGAAAGACAAGGTAGTCTGCCTCCATAAAGATTACAGCCTTGGAAACTCTATGGGGTGGTTCTACTCTGTCCTACAGGGTAGCTATGAGTCAGAATTGACTTGATGGCAACGGGTTTGGATTTTGGATTCTAACTGCAGGAATCCCTGGGTGGCACAAACAGTTAAGCACTTGGCTACTAACCAAAAGTTTGGTGGTTTGAATTCACCCAGAGGCACCTCAAAAGAAAGGCCTGGTCATCTACTTCTGAAAAGATTACAGCCATTGAAAACCCTATGGAATGCAGTTCTACTCTGAAACACACAGGGCTGCCATGAGTCGGAATCAACTTGATGGCAACTGGTTTGGGTTTTTATTCTAACTGCACAAAGAACCTGATTCTGCCTCTTTTCCTGCAATAGTTTCATTTTTATTTGTCTTTAGTTATGCATCTCTCTTTTCCAGCAAACTATAAGCTCCATGAGGGCAGAACGGGGTCTTCTATTTCTTACTCCAGACGGCTCTGGACACAGCAGGTGTTCTGGAAAAGCTTATCAACAATCTGCTACTGCTTGAAGCCAGCTACTGCGTTGGCAGGAAAGAACACTGGTCTATCAGCTGACTGTGCTCTTTGTGTAGCACAGGCTGGCAGGGCCTGTAAAGGGCAGGTGGAGACTGTGCCTGGCTCAACGAGCCCATGAACCACCAGTCGAATTATCAGAACAGTCCAGACCAGAGATGTGCCCAGCTGTAAGAGCAGGCCTGCAGCATGGTTATTATTTTTATAAGTGGTTGTGACTTTGCTGTCATCACTGGGGCTATGGGTTTTGGAAAGAAGGCCAGATTGGGATTCAGGAGGCAGGGTTGGCCATTAAACCTCTCTGGGCCTCAGATGCCTCCTCTGAAAAACAAAAGGATGGTTCCTCCAGTCCTAAAGGTCTACAGAAAGCCCAGGCTCTCTGCAATGATTTCCACATTTTAAAGAAACATTTGCTGAGCACTGGCCAATGCTGTGGACTGTCTTTGGTGCTTGCACAAACCCTTGCTCGTGGAATCTGATTTGATCTCAACAGGAACCCTGCGAGGTAGGCAATGCTGCTCTTAGTGCATACACAGGGAAACTTCAGCTAAGAGAGGTGAAATGACTTGACCAAGGTCTTGCAGTTACTAAGGAGGCAGAGTCCTGATCCAAGTCCATTATCTCATGGGCTCTCCACTGCATTATGCTGGGCACTCAGTTTAACTACGGTTTGTTAACCACGGGAAGTAACTGACCACAGGACAGAGGACTTCATATGAGCCAATGTGTAACTTGTTGGAGATCAGACATTTCAAGGCCAAGATTGAAATCAGTCTCTCCCTAATCCCCAGTGAAGGAAAAGAGAAGTCACTGCCACTCCTTGCCAAACACATCCTAATCTATAGTAGCCCCAGACCAGAGAAGGAAAATGAAATGTTTCTTACCAGCATACTCGCCCATGTTGATCTCCTCTTCAAAAACATCACTGAAACCTTCACCGGAATTGAGAAGGTCTAATCGACCATCAATAAACTACAGACAGAAATAACAAAAGCACAACAGTTTGTACAAATTAACAGTGGAAAACAAAATGAAACAAAACATTCATCTGGACATCTTAATGTATGACCAAAGAGCAACCACATTTTCCAGGATAAGAAAGGTCTTTTGAAACCATTAGTTTTCAAAAAGTAAATTTCAACAAGCGAGTTTCTAAAATTTGGCTGTGTGTTTATTTTACTTGCATAACTGCACGACATTATTTGCTATGGGTGTGTCTGGTCACTGACCATCCTCCTCATCTATCTCCCTTCCCAGACCTTGAGCCTTTTTAGGCCAGGCATTGGTCCGGTCCATGCCTGCAGCCTCAGGACTTAGTGTGGAGACAGCTGCAGAAATCCCCATCAGGGATCCAGATACAGGCCACGCCAGGCCGACGGTAGGGAGGGATGGGCACCTGTTTGAAGAGCTGCAGCTGCGTGGCATTCTGCAGGAACTGCCTCATGGCTCCTGAACGGTAGTGGGACACGAAGGCTTCTTCACAGAAGGTGATTGCCTCCTCCTGGGAAATGGAGACGGGAGAAGAGGGTCAGAGGCATGGGGTGAGAGCGACCAGTTCTTAAACTGCTTGATCTTTTAGGCAGCACTTCCACATCTGCTATTTTACCTAATCCTCATTTACCTGGTAAAGTGGCTATCATCATCAACATCATTCTATTCTATGGACGAGGAAGCTCCTTCAGAGAAGAGTCGCCACCCAAAGTCACACAGCTGTTAGGAGGCAGAGCTGGGACCTGAACGCAAGATTCCAAACCCCACGCCTCTTCCATATAGCTACAGTCACACCCAAACAGCAAGTCTGACATGAGTGCCTATGCAGTGATTTCCAAACTTTCCTTTTGTACTTCTAGCAGTGGAATCCTTTATCCAAATAAAACCTTGTGCAGAAGGAGCTCTGCTATATAAAGCATTGCTGAGCTGCTCTGGTGGGAGCTGGAGGCAGGGGATGATGCCTGGGCTCTCCTGCTTGGCAGCTATCATCTCCCTCCACATCCCAGGCACCTTTGCAGTCTCTCAGGCACTAGCCATGGAACACAGTTTGAGAACCATTAACACAGTCATCTTGACCAACAGTATAATTAAAAAATAATTCCTTATTTAAAAAAAGCAAGGATGATCAAAGACAAGATTTACCATCCAGTCAATTTTGTGCTTAGGCTGTTTGATGAGGAAGTTTGCTTTTTACCAAACTACATTTTATGAGTCAAGAAAATGATATCCTAAACTCAAAGTCCACCTTGTACAGTCAACACCTCAATCCTTCTTTGAACATGCTTGGAGTGCTCACCTACACAAACAAGTCTTTAATTTCAATGGTGTAGTCTCAATTCTGAAAGATCAGACTTCTATACTTTGAATTAAAAATACCCCCCTCCCCCATTTCACAGACTTGGTGGCAAACACAGAGATGTTTTGAAGCTCCACTTTTATCTTGCTTTAATGAGTTACATGAGTGTTGAAGTTTTCTGTCTAGTTGCTGCAAGTTCCAAGAGTTTCTCTTGCTTAAATCTAGCCAACATTAGCTCAGCAACTGGGCAGATTTATTCCACAAGGGATGTAAGGACGAAAAAATCTGGGTGGGGGAAAGATTTATTTTTATACAATTACACTCTGTTTAATTTTACAAAGGATTTGAGGAAGCTTACATGAGCACATAAAACAAAAGACAAAAAAATCAGCCCTGGAAAATACCTAAAATATGCATAATTTATTTATGTGGGAAAAGAGTATTTGGATATGTAGTTCCTATATGGTTTCTAAAATTAAGTTACAAATTAGCTTTGAGCTTCCTGGCTGCTGAAGCAAGAAGGGAAATACGTTCAGTTACAAACTTTATATTATCTACAAGAAAAAAGCACACTAGTTTCTTAGAAAAGAGACAAAGCTTTTTACGACACTTATTACTTTGGTATAGATTTACATCTTCCTTGCTGAACATCTGAGAGAGATCAGCTAGTAATAACCAACAAAAGCCGAACTAGTGTTTCAATCCATTTGTTTCTCATCCTTGGAACCACAGCAGGGCAATTAATTAACCCTCTTTCCAGGTGATCTCCTCCATGCTCACAATGTCACCTGTACACTGAAGACTTCTCATAAATATCACCAGCTCAGATGTCTTTCCAGAGCGCCAAACCTCTATGTCCCAATCTCTACCTGGAGGGCCCACTGACACCTCAAACTCAAAATGGACCAATTATTATCCCAAATTATTATCCCACCTAGACTGTACCCAAAATCTGTTTTTCTTTCTGTTTCTCTCTTTCTTGGACTCCTTGGGTGGTGTAAACGGTAAACACACTCAGCTACTAACCAATAGGTTGGCTGTTCAGTTCTACTCATAGGCACCTCAGAAGAAAAGTCTGGAGATCTACTTCTAAAAAATCAGCCTTTGAAAACCCTATGGAACACAGTTCTACTCTGACACACATGGGGTTGCCATGAGTCAGAATCGACTTGATGGTAACTGGTTTTTATCATTATCCACAGCTATCCACAGCAGGATGATCAGTCTTCTTATGTCCTTTCAATTTTACCTGTGAACTGTCTCGTATGTTCGTCCCCTGCTCTGACTCACTACCTTAGTGCAGGCCTAAACTGCTGTGGTGGACAGCATTTAACTATATGTCCCTCTCCTGTCTCCTTCCTCCCATGTACTCCAATTCTTCTGGCCAGAGTGATTTCTCAAATGCAAATCAGATCATGTCACTATCCTACTCAAGAACTTTCTTGGCATACATATTTGTGTGATCATTTGATTAATGTTTGTTTCCTCTGAAGTAGACTGTAAGCTCCAGGTGAGCAGGAACGGTACCTGCTTTGCTCAACATTGTACACTTAGCAGCATGTGTGGCACACACAGGGTTTCTGCCAGGGAGAGGAAAGAAAAAGCCCTAGCTCCTTAGCCAGGCAAACAAACCCTTCCCAAACTGGCCCACCTTTCATTTCCAGAGTCCTTTTTTGTCACGTTTCTTCTGCTCCCCCAACATACCTTATACTCCAAAATGCAATCCCTGATCACATGCCACATCCTTCCCCACGTTCTTCCTCACTTTTGCAACTATTCCTTCCGCCTGTACTGTCTTCCTCTCAAACACAGGCCTCTGTGAGGCAGTCACAATCCCTGCTTGGTTCTCACAGTGCCTTGTGTACTCCTGGGTGCTGGTGCGGTCTGTTTACTGGTGTCCCTGGTGACCAGGAGCTCCCAGAGGGCAGAGGCCCTGCTGGACTTATCTCTACCCTCCCCAGGACAGCATAGAGCCTGGCACCTGGCGAGAAGCTCAGGGATGTCAGTAAAGAACCACAGAATGAGTTCAACCCTGGTCCCTGCCACGAGAGCACTGTGGTCTCGGTGTGGCTGAGACATTGCTTGGACTGACTGTAAACAGGTCTCAGAGCATGATGCCAGGTGAGTGACACTTGTGTCTAGGGAGGTTAGAGATGCTTAGAGGAAATGCTCATTGGAGTTGTTAGCATTCATGCCTGGAGCTTTAACCCAGCGGTGCCAGGGAGGAGAAGTTTGCAACCAGATTTGTGTTTTAAGGGTAGCCTGAGGCAGGATTTAGCTGTAGAAGAGCAGAAAGAATCTCATCTTTGGGGAGACACGAACACTTTGGGCCTGTTATCTACTTACTGGAGGTGACATCCCCCTGGATCAGATGTCTGTGCCATAAAAAAAGGGACAAAAATTAAAGGGCATGGGCACAGATAGGAAAGATTCAGGGAAATGTGGCAATGGGGGCTTTTTCTGAAAAGGACTTGAAGAACAACATTAGGAGAAGTGTCTGTTAGAGGTAGAAATAAATACTACTACTATATGGTGTAGCACTACTGGCATGGGGTGGGAGGGGCGGGCGGGGTGGGCGGGGGGCGCGGGCAGGAATCTGAAGAGTTGATGAAAAGTGGGTTTCAGATGAGCCTGGAAGGGTGAACAGGAGGTAGGCAAGGAAATCCCATCTGTTCAGGGCCAAATTGTTCTATCCTAATCCTGTGGAAAGGGGATGACATTGTCACCCAGAACCGTGTACAGGTCTGAATGGCAACAGGAGCCACTTACCTTCTAAGAAAATTACAACAATCACAATTCACCCAATCCTATCATGTGCTCCTTGACGGGCACTGTGTTAGCCACTTCACAATTCTTTTTATCAGTTTGACAACTTTAATGCAGGAAGAAGCACACTCAAATCTCACAGAATAACTGAGGAAAGGTAATTTGCCCAGGGTTACACTACACAGCTGGTAAATGGCAGAGCCACGATTCAAAACCCAATGGACTCCAAAGCCCATTTCTCGTTATCATACACATGGTCTGCCATAGACTCAGCTTTTCTCTGCGGCCTCAGTTCTGTTTGCCCTTGGACATCTGCTGGAGAATGAGAGTTCTCTTTAAAGTTGGAACACCTCAGGTTCTCCTGTTGAACACTCAAAGCACTAGTCCTTCAGAGACAAACAGCTCCGGGGAGTAAGCAAGCCCTTATGCAGGCTCTTTATGCCACAGGTCCCACATGAGGATACCAAACCACTCACACCAGTCTATCCATCCCTCTGCGTACAGTTGAAATGGCCGCCCCTACTCCACTCTGCAGTGAAGAGGAGTAAGACAAGGTGTCTTGTTAATTCCCTCCTTTGTAAGAAGTGCTGATTTTCGTCTCTTGTTAGGCTGATTAAACCTTTTGTCTTCTTAGGCGACACTCTAGGTGCTGGAGCATTAATTCAGGAAAGCCAGGCCGTGAGCATTCAAGCTTAGATCACATTAGTAGAGTTTTCTATCTATGACCTGAAGGACAGTAGAACACAGCTGCTTAACCCTATCAATGACTTTGTTATAAAAAGACGTTTTACTCTCGGATTATCTTCTTGACATATGGAATCAATTGAAAGCTTCATCACTAATGAGTTGAATCATTGTTAACAAGTGAAGTTGGTGATTCCAAAGGCTTCTGATACTTCCAAAAATAAATGGCTTTATCCACAGCATTGTGGGTACTGGCATAAAGATAAAACTCCCATCAGATTCTTCAGCAACTTCCTTCTTCTGCTGACCCACACATAAAGGATTAAGTTCTTATTTTCTGCTACATATTAGGTCTTTACTAAAATTTTATGTACGTTAACTCTGTGATTTTAAGAGAAAAAGAAGTCCATTATTTACAGACCTTGTTTACAATTTTAAAAACAGTAGATTTGGAAGATTCACCCATCCATCCAAACATTTTTTAAGTACCTACTATGTGCCTGGAGGCCTGGTAGCGCAGTTGTTAAGCGTTTGGCTGTTAACCAAAAGGTTGGCAGTTCGAATCCACCAGCCGCTCCTTGGAAATGCTATGGGGCAGTTCTACTCCATCCTGTAGGGCTGCTATGAGTTGGAATTGACTCGATGGTAACGGTTTTGTATGTGCCTGGCTCTGCATTGAGGGAATACAAAGATGAATAAAATATAGGTCCTAAAAGTGATTATGATAATCGAATGGGGGATGGGGAGTGGCTGAAGGTAGAGAT